AGGACCAAACCCTGAGTTTAAATATAAAAGCTTTATTAGACAATGAATACTAAAGGCCATTAAGGATATATCCATGACAAACTGCTTGCTTAAATCAAAAGTGATAAGGTGTTTACCAGCTGATTTTTACTCATCTGTTTTGCAGCTTACAGTTGTGTTTCTTCTACCTATTAAAACTTGATTATAAATTATAATGTGGAGAAAACCATAAAGGATTAACAAACTTCAAATGTTTGTAATCTGCATTGCTGTGTAGTGTTGCTGGGTGACCATACCCATATGGTGATTCACCCTAGAGACGACTGGTTTCAGTTCCAGATGAAATTAGTCCTTAAATAATAAAAGCAAATAACATGCATATATGTACTTAGAAAAAAAATATGCACTCCCCTTAATGCAAATAATTTCTCTGCTATTGTTTCTGTTGCTATAGCATGCTTAGTCTTTTACAAAAAGAAATGTTACTTTCACATCAATGCTGTGATGGCAATCAACATCTATAAATTGAGACATGTATATACCTACCGATTAACCCAGGCCTGTCAATGAACCTATCAACCCCTATTGACCCTGAAAGGTCAAGCAGTCCTAATTAAAACCACTAGAACAATGCAGTCTTACTGCATCTCTGGCAGGTTTACCAATGGACAAAGCAGTAATGACTGTCATGGCTTCAGACTCCCTTAATGCTTGTACTCACTTCCCATACTTTCAGACACATAATACACCCATTTCACATAGCTGCCACAAAGCAGTTTGTTCGGGTTTGCACCTTAAGCATTACATTTCCGTTCATATGTCCAAGGCCTCATTATTTTTTATTTGTTTCTGAGCTAGTCTTTCCAAACACCAGTTTCTGTAGGTTTTGGAGCAATAACTTGCCATGGCCACTCCTTCTTCATGAGCAGATGAGTTTCTGTAGCCTCTTTCAATCTTTAGATGCAAGATACTACCTAGATCAAAAGAAAACCAACCCAAACCAAAACCAGACTTCTCCAAGAGAAACACAGCATGTCTGCCCAAGCAGGTGATGGAATGACAGTTTCCCCATACTTTGCTTCTCTACACTCTGTTCTTCACACAGCTCTAGTATTCTGCTAAAAAGCTGCCAGACAGGGTTAGCTTGTAACTGGTTAGTGTGGAGCATCAGGAGCCCAAGTGCAGGCCTCTTTGCATCCATAGAGATATGGCCACAGTAAGTGATTTATGTATTAACATGAGGAGTTGGCTGGCCCTGAAGTGTCAGAGCACTGAAACTACCCAAAGCTTTCTAACTTGGTAACCATGCCAGGTTTTGCATGGATCATTTTGTATCTCCCATGTACATTTGGAATGGGTTCCTGATGTGAAAAACAAAACCCCCAAGTGTAAAAACAAAGGCAAAGAAATAGGCCCTATAGGAGAACATTACCACACATTTAGGTTTCCATGCATTTTGTCAGAAGAAAATTTTGGGATTTTATGCAAGTGTATCCAGGACTTCTAGAGTAAGATGGACTCAGAACAGCAGTGTCATCTGGATTGGGCAACACTGGGCACACCACCTGAGCATATCCATGTTAGTGCAACAGTGGAGATGATCCATGCATGCCCTCTAAAGCAGCCCATTAGGACATCATCACATATGTTCTGTAGAGCTCATCACTGCGTGTGCAGAATGTCTGCTGAATTCAGAACATGCTGAACCTCTCGTATATACATCAGGGGTACAGGAAGTGTAAAAGCCTGGCCACATGGGACACTAGAATATAATATATGCAAAAAGTCACCTGAAAACTCAAAGCTCACATATTCCCAAGCCATGGGGCATTTACACACAAGCAGCTGGTGCACAATAGTTTTAATCAAAACAATTACATATTATTAAATATACAAGGCATGTGTTTGCTTTCCTTGTTTTGCTCAAGTGAAGACTGTTTCTAGGTCAAAATGTTTTGCATTACCTCTTCCTTCTCTGCATATCCTTTTTTTATTTAAATTAACAAACTTTATTACTGTATGTTTGAATAATCACTGTCTTTTGACGGCAAAATGTTACAGTCTTTCTTACCTTTTTCTCTCATACTCCCTATTACATTATTGAAGGCTGAGGTTTATTAAAGTTTCCACATGATTGTCATACAATTCAAGCATCTTCTGTTGCATTAAGCCCATAGATTTTCAAATGGATTTGTGATTGACAGCGTCTCCATAAAGATAAATCAAATCCAGCAGCGGTTCCTCCCCCTTTCTTCTTTCCTCTTCTCAATTTTCTATTTCCTGTTATTTTTCTTTGTCATCTTGTCCTTGCACTCTGCTTCCACTTTCCTGTATTTGCTCAAAACAGGCTGTGCAACAGAAAAAGCTGGTCACGTGCTTGCCCAAGGGATTCATTAACCTTTGTGCCTTTAAGCCTCCTGAGCAGGTCGAGTCAGAACAGCAAAGAATCTGCAGCGGAATTATCTTTCTGGAAATAAGTAACAGGCTCTTCAAAGCCCTGTTGGGTATTTTTATTGCCTTATTTCTCGTCTAATCGTGCTGTTTTCAAATTCTGAATGGTTGTAAGTTATTTACAAAAATGGTAGCCTGGGGTAAAAGTCAAAACTGTTTGGTTTGGGTTGTTTGGGGTTTTTTTGTTACATTTACGATTAGGTGTGCGGTCTTCTCTCAGTTGCAGGCCACAGACTGCGCCAGTTGAAGGCTGCATCTGTGACTGCAGTAGTAAGGTTGTACATACCCGCAAGCAAAACTCTGCTGAAATCAGTTACTTTAATCTTCCTTTCAGTCTCGCTGGGATGAGGACATGCACTCGTGAGCACCTGCAGCAGAAGGAGCCTCAGGCCTTTCAGAAAGTGCCGCTTCTCTTTCTGCACTTTCAGCACGAAAGGTGAAGCAAAACGAGTGTGACTGGCCTTGCACTTCACCTGCGTTCTTGTTATTTAGGGCTGCGAGTAAGACTGGGGAAATTCTGTCTTTCACCAGTAAAATCAGCTTTGAGAGGCCAAGACAAGGAGACTTGTATGTGAATTCATGCACTCGACCTTTACCCGTTCTCTATTTGTACTTCCCTCCATGTGGTGGATGGATAAACCCATCCGATTTATTGCACTCGGCTGTGACTGGAGACTGTCTGAAGTTCCCGATGGGAACCCCACTGCGAGGAAAAGAAAGATGAACAGAGCAAACCCGATGGAAGACCCAGGAGCAGGCCGTGCCGGGGGTGCAGACAGCGACCTCCCAACTCCTCGCCCCATGACGGGCGGCAAAAAGGCTAACCCTTCCCGTCCTCACATTGCTGGGTTATTTTCCTCCCTCTGGGCAGGGATGACCCCACGGGATCGCTCCGCTCCGCTGGCACCTCCCGGCCGGAAGCGGAAGCTCCAGCGCCGGGCCAGGCGGCAGCGGTATAAGCGGTCGGCGGCGCGGTAAGGGGAGGGTGATGCTCGGTGGTGAGTGCGGTAGCGGCGGGGCTCTGGCGGGGTCTTATCGCCCCCCCTCTGACGTGGGGCTGAGCCGCCACGATAAGGGGGTGGTGGGCGCGCTGCCGCGGCGAGGAGCGTTTGGCGCCTCTGGGGTTAGCTCCTGTTTGAGGGGGAAGAGCGATTCAGTAGCAGCGAGTTCCGTATTTTCAGTATATAGCTATTTGCATATTTATGCATGTTAATTGAATACATATTTATATGCTTTTAACTGCTGGAAAACTTCTGCTTGAGTTTAAAGGATTAAACTGGATTAAAAGTGAGTTGTAACTATGGGTTGATGTGCAGGTGTACTTTACACTTCTGTAGTTGTTAGTGCATCCTTCTAGCTGGACTGCTTATGCTGCCTTTGAATTACTCTGAGCTTTAACTCTTTGATATAAATATGGCAATAGGTGGGTATTGTAAAGCCAAAACCACATCTTACTTGTCTGGAATTGGTTTGCTCTGTGTTTGCTTTTGTCTTTGCCTTTCTGCAAAGAGGCTTCCTGCTTTTTAATGAGCCACATAATGATGGCTAGCAGATATTGTGCTTCTCTTGTATCTCCTTGTTAGGGGAAGAATCTGAGTGGAAAGTATTAATTAGTGTACTGTCTTCCACTGTCTCTGATTCTGGCATGTTTCCATTCTTCCAAGGGCTGTAGTTCTGCTCTCTCTGCAATGTTAATATATGATAGTGTTAAATGAAGCAGGATGGGTCTTGGAAAATGTGCTGATGCTAGTTATTGATTAAACGTGTACCTTGTCTTCTGGGGCAAACTGTTGCATTAAGATGATTGTGTAACATGGTTGTGTGAAGCATATGGTTCTGTCTTATCTGTTAGGGTTATAGGCCAGTGTGAATCAGAAAGTCTTTTAAGTCTACAGTTGTATTGCATGATATACGCAGGTACCTTTAAACAACTAAATTCAGGTAAAAAGCACCTGTTTGCTGGCTACAAAATGGCTGTGAAACTCAGAATAGAAGGGAAGAACGCTGTTGTTGTTGTCATTTTTATCTTCATGGACTTCCAAAATATCCCAGAAATTAGATGTACACTCAAAGTTTGTTTCATCAGGTGCTGATTGCCTTCAGCACCCATATCTAGACTTAATACATCTCAATGCAAATCCAGAGCAGTTATTTTTGTCTTTAACTGCCGTTTTGCACCAGAAGGTGCTGGTCCATTGCAATTCTGATAATAAAATCACTCAGACTTTCTGAAGTATCATATCAAATGCTCTTTGTTAGAGCTAACCCTGTAAAGAAAGAGGATAGGGTTAGGGTTAATCTTCAGGAGCTGGGAGCTCCAAGTTATGCAGCGTTGAACAGGTCTCCTGTGATTCATGTACAATGTGCTCTACAGGCCCTCTCTGTAGAAGGGGTTACCCTGTTTTGGTCACTTGAGCTATTAGGGATTTTCTTACAGGAAAACAACTCTGTTCATCATTTCTTCTGTCAAACAAATGATGCTTGCATGAGACTGTCCTGTCTTTTTAGATGAAGGTAAGGACACATGCGTGGTGTAATCACAGGTACCAAGCTGCCTGCAGGCTCATCTGTTACAGCTGCTGAGCGTATCCTAGAATGCAGGCTTGAAGGCCAGGCTGTATGTGAATCACAGCACAAGGGAGGCCTGGACCTGCTTGGGTTAACTGTTAACCTGGATCACCAGCTCCTTGATGTACAATGGCCTTCAGGTCAGGATCACTCCAACTACTTTGTTAGGTGTCTCTGTAAACCAAGTGTGGTGTTTGATGCCTGCTGTAAATCTATAGAGATGTGGCTTGAGAAGCTAAACAGGAAATTGAAAATACAAACTTTATGTGTGAACACATCCATCGGCTGATGAAGATTTTAACAACATGGAGAAGGCAGAGCCATTTTGGCATGGTATGCTGTGTGAATGCCCTGCTTTGAAAATACTTGTTCTTCTTACATAGTCAGCTGTTCAGCCAGTGTTGCATGCTTCCACTCCTGGGTTGTTTGGTTGGTTTGGTTTTATTGTTTTAAAACTAATAGCATGATGAGTTTGCACACAGCTGAACTTGGGAAGTAACTTCCTCAATTTCTGCTGAAATCAGCTAGCCCGCTTTGGACCTCATCCTGAATGTGGTTTCATTTTAGCAGTTTGACCAGAAACGTGGACTGTCTGGATGTTGGGACACACTGTGAAAGCTTCCTTTTTTGATAAAAAGCTTTGACACTCTTAGGAGATTGCAGTTTGTGGTAGCTATAAAGCCAGCAACAGGGAGTGGAATATCATGTTAGACTCCTGTTGAATTTCACAGGGAAGATGCTTCAATATCACAGTTCGAAGCATGAGAGAGAAGTCTAGGCTCAAGGGTTCCTTTTCTGTCTCTCCAGGATAACTGTTAGTCTCCTTTATACTGGTAAAGACTGTGAAGAACCTACTTCATCTTTATAATCTATTTCTTATATCAGATCTCTATTTTTTACATAGAAAAGGTAAACTGGTGCAATTTACTGAATTTGCTTGTTCTTCTTCAGGCAAAAATGTCTGCAGCATGCGACTTCATTGCACTCCACACTGGGCAGAAGATGCCTCTCATAGGACTGGGAACTTGGAAAAGTGAGCGTGGCCAAGTAAGCAAAGAACGATGCGATATTGTGCTCTCAACTAGTATTTGTGGCTTGTGCACCTTTTGTGAAGATCCTAGATTTGCTGTCTGGATCCTTTGATTGAATTGTTTTAGTCTTAGGCACACTGAAATCAATGGGATGTATGTATTTGCATGACTTAAGGCACAAAAGCAGCAGCAGCAGATTGTTAACGTAGGCCTCAGGCAATGCTGCTTTGGGAGATGAATCGAGAAAGAGACCAATGAGTGGGGTGAGGCAGGAACAGTGCTGTAGCTATAATATGTAGCTATAATACAGATTTCCACTGGGAAATCCTCAGGCTGCCAGTTTGACCAGACATTCCTCTGTCTTGGGCTGGTGACTGAGCTGAAAGTGTTATTTTGGGAGGCAAGAACTCCAGTTGGTTTTGTAATAAGTCCTGCTCCAGTAGTCAGCCTGTGTTTAGCAGAAAAACAGAATTTGCTTGGGTCATCCTGCTTTTAGACTAAGATGACTAATGCGTTGTCAGACATTCATTCTGCTTCTAATGCAATGAATTGGCAAACACCACGCTGGGAAACAATTCTGTGTGTTACTACAAACTGTGGGAATGTTTGTGTGCTACGGACTGTGCCTCCTGTTGTAATTCTTCTCCTTGTCTGTCTTTTCCTCTTTGTTTCATTTAGTTAAAAGATAAATTCTTGGGGGAAGAGATTGCACACGTTTGCTGTGAAAGGCAACGTCCTTTGCTTGGTGGAATTCTTAGCTGGTATTGTTGTCTATAATGCCTTCTGGATTATGTCTGCACAGTAAATGCTGCATAGTTTTGCATTAACTTCATGATGGTTTTTTGAGTAGACTGAATGACATTGTGTTTGTGACTGAGAGGGAAATTTAAAAGGCTTCTCAAGATGTTGAGCTATTCTCTTGTACCAGCTGGAGGAAAACGTGAGGAAAGAAGCTGTGAAAATCAAATCTTTTCAGTTGGTCTCCCTGTTCAAACAAGTGGACAGTGAATGTATTGGGAACAGAAGCCCAGCTAATGTGGAAACTAAGTTGGTGTGAGAGCTCAGTCAACCTCTTAAATGAGGACGAGAGCTGAACAATGAGTGTTCAGCTCTGTCACTTAAAACATCTGCTGACAGCCAAATTAAGTTTATTGATGTGCAGCAACTGAAAGAATGAATTTCTGTGCACTCAAGGCAGTTAAATGCGTGTTGTCTAAAAACAATGCCTGAAACAAACACAATCTGAATGCATTGTTTATTTTTTGCACAAACTTTTCTGAGGAAAGTGTGGCCTTATAAAAGAACCAGGGATAACCCTGCTCGTGCATAATTTAAACTGAATCCAGATGGATTTTGCCGTAGTAAGCAGTGCTTCAGCAGCTGAACCCAGCCATCTTCTCTGGAGTCCTGAGGAAGCCATTGGGAATCGCTTCTTTGGAACATCTGCTATCTTCAAAGACATTCCTAGAATGTATTGAAGGCAAAATCTGGAACCCACAGTGAAAATGGAATTTCAGGAGCTGCTGATATTCCTCTGGAATAAATAAACTGTTTATAACTCTTGAAAACTCGGAAGCATACAATTTTACCCTTAAAAGAGCATGATGTAGTTCAGGGAGAATAATTGTCATTATGAATTTAAGACTAAGACAAAAGCCTAGAGAAGCTGAACGCTTATTGACTGTATTTAATCTGCTTCCCAAGTAGAGGCTATTTATGAAAATCTTTTTGTGCAAGGCCTGCATTAGAAGCAGGAGTGGAAATGGATGGCCTTTGAATTATTTCAGGTAAATATTTTGCAGTTTGTAATTGTTTTTCGTGTCAAACTGCTTTTCAGTCTTGACTTTACTCTCTTGAGTAATTCCTGATAGTAAACAAGCTTTAACCTTGTAGCTAGATCTTAGAAGTCCAGTACAAAGGTGTCATTACAGCCCTAGTTTTCTAGGTAAGAATATGGAGAGTGAATTATTGAATCTAATCTACATTGGAAGACTGTAGGATAATACAATGTTTTCTGTATTACATGAGCAAGTGCTGAAAGAGAAATTTGTTTTATGTGTTACTATGGGGACATGATGAAGGGCTATTGAATGGGAAGGGAACACAATACAGAAGCTTGTGAACTGGCAGCAGGAATGAGTTGAAAGAGATGTCCATTCAGACAGGAGCATCAAGAATATCAGTAGCATGTTTTGTTTTAATATTAGGGCTTGATTATCTGTAATCCTTTAATGCTTTGTTCTCTTCTCTCAAGTGGGCCATGCTTTCAATCTGGAAGACTGATCCCCACCTGATGAACAGCCTGACCTGCTGTGGCAGGGGCTGGTTCTGTGGGGGAAAGCGAAACTGGGCTTTGAGAAGTTGTATTTCGGTGTGAAACCTCAGGAAAGCTGGAGAGGAAATGTGTGGCTCAGCAAACCAGACTGGGTATCTTGTGACAGGATTGCAGCTATGGAGGAGGCTGTTTAGTTCTTGGAAGTTTGTTAGAGAATCCTAGTTACATGCACAAAAATTCACTGCTGCTGGTAAGGATTGAGAGGGATTCAATATATGAAGGATTGGAGGCAAAAAAGTATTTTATGGAACATCAGCTCTGAAGTTGGCATTACTTATGTGGTGATCTGAGTTCTTTTTCAGCAAATTTTAGTGCAGTATGGACAAACTGTGATTTAGCAACACTTACTGGTCATTGCATCTGAATATGATGTGAACCCATGATCTATTCCTTTTTTCCTGTTTCCTGTGAGCAGATAGGACTGCTAAAATGTGGTAACTTTTCAGGAAGTGCGGGAGACTCAGCCTTTTCTTTCCAAGTATTACTGACTAGGACTGTGAGAGGGAAGGCCTCTTTCTAATGGGTTGAGGCAATGCAGAAGAGGCTTCCTAGTCACTTAAACTCTATGCTGCTTGGAAGCATAAAGCTGGCTTGTCAGTTTTTCACCTTGTGATGGGCACATTGAAGAACTGGAAATCTAGGCATGGGCAGTATAATGGATTGGGACTTACAGACTCAGTTTCTGAATCTGCCACTGATTGTTAGCAATCCGTGTTCCTCCATCTTCAGAATGAAAAGAGGGTGGGTAGAAAGGCCAAATCCCTTGCCTCTATAAATGGGAATGTAGTTCCTAGGGCTTTACTATACTATGAAGGAGAATAAGACTTCAGCTACAACAGTGTGCCTGTTTTGGGGCAAACCACTTGAAGTATGAGCCAGCTGATGAGACAGCAGCAGCAATGATGCAAGGTTTGGGAGCGGTGAGTTGTGATGAGAGACGGAAGCACCTACAGTTACATGGTGCAGAGAGGTTTGAGAGATGCATGTTGGCTCTTTCAAAAGGCACAAAAAACCCTCACAAAGGGGAAGCTGTGGATTTCATGTCTGTAAGGAGTACCACATGGCTGTTGGTTAGACACCTGAAATGTGTTGAACATAGAGATCCTAGAATCATAGAATAGTTTGGGTTGGAAAGGACCTTAAGATCATGTAGTTCCAACCCCCCTGCCATGGGCAGGGACACCTCACACTAAACCATGCCACCCAAGGCTGTGTCCAACCTGGCCTTGAAAAAAGATACCTAAGCATTAGAATAGACTGCCTGTCACTTACAAGAAGGGTTGTGACAAATGTGTGTAGGAGTGGTTTAGATGGCCCCGCTGCGGGGCATGAGGGTAGACTTTGTGATGTCTCAAGATCCTTTCAGACCTACTTTCTGTAGCTCTGTGATGCTACATTGGTGAGTCACATTTAAGCTGTGTGATTCAACTTGCCTAGTGGCAAATGAACTTGGTGATTGTTCCTTCCATAGCAGTTTTGACAGGCTAAACTAAAGAATAATGGAAAATTTGAGGGATCCTTTGACTGTTGTTACTTCACAACACAAATATCCAGAGGCATGTGAATCTCTAACTGCTTCTGTTGTCTTTGGGGTTTTTTCCCCTCTGTGTCCCAGGAAATGCATGTCCCTGGCTGAACAGAATCTCAGAATTACAGAACTTTCTGTTTAAGTTCTTAAGTTTACATCTATCTGTTATTCCCACCCCCCAAGAAATGCCTTTTTTGCATGTTTTCTCTTGATTGTTTGCCTTTTGTGTGGAGCTCTTGGTTCACATTGGAATGTCTTAGCAGGCTGAAAGTAGTTTATGCAAATACAGATTTAGCCCAAATCCAAGCCTTATTTAAATAACCAGTCCCAGTTTTCAGTGCTGGAAATTTATCAAAACATGCTGATACAGAAATGGAGCCTCCTGCTTATTGCTTTGCAGGGATATGTTTGGAGTGCATTATCGCTTGCTTTCTGCAAGTGGTTCTTGAATTTTATGGCAAATTTTGTGCCTATTTGGAACAAGCCCCCTTGTTATCCAATAGAAGAAATGAGGGACTAATACAGGCCAAGAACACTGCTGGTTTTCCTTTCTGCTTCAGCTCCAGGACTCTCAACTTTTTGAAGGGTAGATATCAAATCTTAAAAGCCTTTTAGTATGTCTCAAGTGATTTCAGAATTACCATGATATTGATTGTGTAGGACCTTAGGAATGTCTTTGTCAAGGGTTGTAAATACCATCCTGCTGGGGGAAGGAAGAGTTTACTTCACTGCTGTAGTAGAAGTGCTTTGTGATCCTGACTAAGGGAAACTGGTCTGATTTTTTTTCCTCTCAAAATGCCAAAGAATGCAGTCGGAATATCCTGTCTGCCTTTACTGCTGCTCTTGACAAGAAAACAAATGAAATCCACCAGAGAAAGAGAGGTCTTTTTCCCATTTGATTCCCCCTTGTCTTTCTGTAGCCTCTGAAAGCAGGACTCTACGTGTCTTTACTTGCTGTTACTAGTTTTGTTAGCTTTAAGATTGAAAATGCTGCTACTTTGATTAAACTGAAAGAAATCAATCTCTCTCTAGCCTTTGTGAACATGTTTTTTTAATCTCTTGATGACAGAGATGTAATCTCTGTAAATGTTTTGGGGCCCTATTGCATCAAGCTTAATACACAGAGTAATTTATAATCTCACAGTCTTGAAAGACAAGTCAGTGAAGAGCAGTGTATAGGAATCCCTGGACAGGTAAGATGTACTCTTACTGCAGCACTGTGGACAGATAGATGCAAAAGAGTGTGTGCTTACTTTCCACTGGAAGTCAAATGAAATGACATTAAGATTTTACTTAATGCTCATCAGCCTAATGGCAAATGATGCCTGCAGTGGAATCTGTAGTAATTCTTGGTTCTTGTGCAGTTGGTTATTAGAAATTTTTATTCAGAAGCTACTTGTGAGTCCTCAAAAAGATGCCGTTCTGTGTTTCGTTCTTTGGTTTCTAGACCTGCTTTATGGCTGAGATCTGCACGTGAAGATGTTTTGTGCTTGGGCTTCATTAGAACTTTAAAAAGCAAAAAGATTGGCAGTATGGTGCCTTGGTTCCCAACCATTCTGGCTTATGCATAATAATAGGTAGCAAGGGAAGCGTTGCTGTTGGTAACATCTATGTCAGCAATGTGGAAAGCAAACTGCAGAGTTGTCAGCATCATCAGGAGATCCCCTGCAGGCCATGAATTAATACACAACAATATAATGACTTCATTGTTGAGCAGTCAGTGCAAATGAGACCTGAAGAAAAAATGCACCATAAAGTATCATTATCTTGGGAATTTAGGTGTGAGCAGTTGAACCAACCCCGAATTCTGGCAATTCTGGAGTTAGAAAGCAGGCTCTCTACTGGGAGAGAGGAGATATAATAGGAGATAATTAATAGATGAATCCTCATCTGTTGGGTTAGGAAATTTTGTCTTCCTATGTCATCATTTATTTAAAAACTGCTTCTTAAAGCTCATTTTACATTTAAGAAAAGTAAGAAGTATAGTTAATAATTAATCTCTATTCTATTTGGTGAGTTCTTGCATGCTTGGCCTGTGTGCGTGTCCTGTATTGTTACTCTTGTCTGCTAGCAGTTAGCTCTCACTCCTGTGCCATAGAGGACCATATCCTACTCTTTGAGTCTCATCACCTTATGTACTTTGGGGCTGTTCATCACTAAGTCCCTAATTTTTGATTCCTTTCTCCCCCAGTGATGTGTCCCTTTCCAGTGATCACATTGGGTTATCTGTTTCTGATTACAGGTGAAAGAAGCAGTGAAATATGCCCTAAGTGTGGGCTATCGCCATATCGATTGTGCAGCAGCTTACAGCAATGAAACAGAGATTGGTGAGGCTTTCCAGGAGTGCCTTGGGGCCAGTAAGGTAAAAACACAAGAGTCACCACACTGCTTGGGTATTGTATCAATATTTACAACAGTGACCTGAAAGTAGACTGTAAAGTTAATATCTGTGGCTTTTCCTCCTGGTCTATCCCAGATGTGTGTTACTAATCAGGAGCAGGCATGAGAGGGCTTTCTCTCCTCTTATACCCATCCTGGCTGTCAGGAGGAGGAAAGATTTTCAGGAATATCTTCACAGAGCTAAAGAAAATGCCCTTTTTTTAAAAAATTCCCTGCCCACCCCTTTTCCCCCTTTCAAAGTATCCCAGTTTGGCTGTTCAGAAGTCAGAGGTACCAAGAATCAGTAGCTATAATGTAAAATATTTGCAGTGATTTATAGGGAAGTTACTCTGTTTTGCTGCTCTGGGATAGCATGGTCTGTAGCCATAGCAAATTTGGTGACTGTGGGGCTTTTTGGTTATGGACAAAGTAATACTAAGTAAGTATGTAGTTTGTTTTAAAGAGTGATTGCATTTGAAGGTTTGATAACTGTGGCTCTAGGGCCTGCATCTGAGAGTCTGTGACCTAAATATAAGGTAATGTGGCAGGCATTCCTATGGGTGACCTCGGGTGGAATCTTAAATTCATCCTCTTGCCCTTTTGTTAGCCTAAGGGGCCAGAAGGATTGCCTGTACAGCCTCAGAGCTCATGGAAGGAAAGTTGTTATGTTCCTGCTTTCCTGCTGTTCTTGCCTTGGCTTTAGGGCGATTTCTTTGTTATGTGATTAGCTTAAGAGAGGCTGCTTTCAGCTTGCTCCAGGGATTCCTTCCTACAAGATATGGTAACTAACACAGAGAAGCATAGGAGACTCTTACTCAATTCATATTAGCTAGCTAACTTAAAACTAGAATTTGTAAAACATCTTTCTCTTTGAACACAGCCACATGTGAAACAGAAATAACAATGGTTGGAGATAAACAGGGAATTAATTATTCCATCTTCTAAAAAGTATAGACTTGAGTGATATTTGGTCACACAAGAGAGTGAGAAGTACCCTCTGATGCTGTGCTGTGCCTCAGCTTGCCAAACATGATCTTCCTTTAGCATTTTATACCTCTTGGTTAAGCAACTCCCTATTTGTTTAATTTGTGTGTCATACCCTTCCAATACAGGGTTCAGGCACTCAGTGCATTTCTTCCAGAACCTAGAAACTGAAGTGCAAAGGTTTGGGGAAGCTTCTTCTCTTTATTTTCCCATGCCCTTCCCATGAGAAGCATTCCTGGTTTATAACATGTGATGAGTGTAGTAAGTTAGCTGGTTGTGCCTAGAAAATGTGAATTGTTAGAAATTACAAAATTCACATAGGAATAAACAGAATTTGGCCATGCAACACTTAATAGTGGCTTTTAGCCTTGAATTGGGAAGTTTGGGAAGTGTGTGTGGAGAGGATTGTTTTGTATTTCAGAACTTACAATAGCTTGTGAACTATCTGGTATACTTTAGGACTTGCCAGTGTGTGTGTTTCTCTTGCTTTTCGCTACCTAGTGTATTTTGAAAGGTTTAATTTGTGGGTTCCATGTGTTACCTTTTTTATTACAACTTAAATTGTTCTCTTTGGTTTTAAAGGTAGTGGGGAATTGCTGCAATTCTCTTCCTGAACTCGTTCCAGTAAATTATGCTCTCCTCCCTTTCTTAAAGGTTATTAAAAGGGAGGACCTGTTTGTAACATCAAAGCTCTGGAATACCAAGCACCACCCAGAAGACGTAGAGCCAGCACTAAGGAAAACACTTGAAGATTTGAAATTGAATTACTTGGACCTGTACCTCATGCATTGGCCTCATGCCTTTGAGTAAGTTCTGTGTGGAAAGGGCACAGATTGCAGAAGCCCCAGTTTTACATAAGTGGCTGGTGTTATATCCTCAGGACCTTCTTTGTGAGCTGTGATTTTCTTCCTGAGTATACTGCCTGCAGGACGTTCTTTTGTAGTGTGGCTAAATAGTGCAGTTCTATGGACTGTCACATAGACACAGCTTTCTACCCGTTACCTATACACTGATTCATATTTGGTCCATGTGTTCACAGAAACAGCTGTTCAGTTTTCATTCTCTGAATTTCAGTTTGGTGGGAGTTAGTTTAGATTTGTAGAGTTTAGATTTGTTTAGGTCAGATTTGTAGCTTGACTGTAAGCATATATTACAGGAGGCAAAACTTCTTGTTTTGTGCAGAAGTATTGTAAATAGAAAAGGGGTGATCTTATTATTTAGCAATTATGAGTATTAAATCTTCATTTAAAATCCATAAGCAATTACTTAAATATTTCACTAGTGAGAACAGCTAGGTGATGAAATTAGGGTTCCTAAACTTCTTACAGTTTGGCATGAGTGACAAAGGTAGGTAACTGAAACTAGTCTAACTGGGAAAAAGTAATAAAGCTGTATGTGACAAGCTTCTGCACTGAAGGTTGCCATCTTATACTAGCTGAGAATTTGATTTGCTGTGAGGAGTTTTAAATATATTAGAAGTTTAAATAGCCTGGTGCCTTCATCCAGGCACTGGGGAAGTGTGGCAGCTCTTCTTGGTTCTGCCATTGACCTACAGGGTAACCTTGAGGAAATAACAAAACTGCTTTGTGCCTTGCCTTTACTTATCTGTAAAATGAGAATTAAGCCTTTTGAAAGGCCATACTTCTCACTAATAGTTATTAACTGTACTGGAGTGGCCAAGCATGCAGTGTCATGGTGACATCTGTATGAGGAAATGAAAATTACTTCTTATGACATTTTAATTGCAGTAATTCTGTGATTTGAGGAAATGAGAGATGAGGAAGTCTTCCAGTTAAGTGCTAAATGCACTTATCCTACAGCCCCATCAGAACCAGAGTTCCTTGCTTTATTTTCTTGCAGATGTGGAAGCCGTTGAGGTCCTCCCCACCTCCCCTTACAATCAGTAAAATGGAAGGGGGAGGATAAATCTCCTGACCAGATGCTTGCATGGAGACAAGCCCCTGTCAGTTTAAGGGGCTTCTGTCTATTCTGCAAATAGAGAACTTGTTGGCCGCTTCTAGTGATACGAACTGAATTTTACAAAGCATACAACACTAATGATTAGAGGAAAGATGCTTGAAGTATAAACGTATTCCTCAGCCTAACAGAATGAGGAAGTGTGGCCAACTAGAGCTGGTTTAGAGGAAGAACTGTTAAAAATTCCCCTGTTATGAAACAGGTTTGTTTCCCAGTTGATTGGAAAAAAAACACCCCAACATTAAACACTGCTTTGATAATCACAGGTAACACAAATATTGACATACGTTTAAGTATTACTAATATTTAAATTAACTTGATGCTGTGGAAACTGCTGACAAAACTGCCATTCTAATAAAGCAGTTTCATGTTTTCTCACTGGGAACTGTTCACTCTCCAGTTTTCTATTACCTCTGCCTCAGCTATTGCAATGTGTGGTTATGTATAATGCTTGTTGCTGTGGGAAGCTGAGCAAACGAATGTTACTTAATTAGAAATAGACTTCCATCTGGAAATCAGAGGGCCTCTAGGTCTTGAAACTTAATCTCTGACTTTGTGTACTACTGTTGACACATTAGGCTGCTTTTCTGAGTTGGGAGCTCATAAGGCTTTCAGAGTTATTTTTGGTTCTGGATTTATCAATGCTATGAAGAAGAACCATCTCCCCTTATCCCCAGCTCCCATTTCTCACACCATGTCACTGCTTAGCTGGGCAGTGTAAGGCAGCCTCTTAGATCTGAGCTAGCAGAGTCCTGCACTGGGTACAAGAAGCATACTGCCAGTGGGATTATGTTTACCCCTTCGCGTGTGGACTGCTCAGCGGCCAGTCATAGCCCTTTGGCAGTGTGGTGGTGTCACTTGGCAGAAGCAGGTTCGTTGTGTGGGGTTTGTGTTTTACTTTACCGTGTTTTTTGAATGGGTTGGTATGACTAACTGGGAACACACCCAGCCTATAAGCAACATGTATGTGTTAAGATTTCTGTGAGAATCTGTGCTTTTACCAAGTACTGTCACTGCTATGGAGTCCAGAGGGAGTGGGAGGCCAGTGTGCTTTGAATACAGTCTCTTCTAGACAGCTCTTAAACCAAGATCACTTTTGTAGCGGCTCCAAACAGACTATAAAGAATCATCCTCTCTAGGTGAGAAACCAAAGCTACCCTCTGAGTTGGTGCTCTCTAAATCTAGCTGTTTTGCTAGGATCAAAGTGTGCAAAGAGCTGCTGCATGTACATGGTGGCTTATCAGTTACCTGTGTAGTCACTACTATATAGGTAAGTAGGTCAAAGTACTGTATAACAAGTTGACATAGGAAAGACTGTATATGAAATAACCTTTTATAGGTGAAGTCAGCATAATTCATGCATTGAACAGACAATATGCTTAGTATGTACTCCACCCTTTAAACTATGTAAAGCTTTTAAGAATACAGGAAGGTTTCTTTCAGTGAAGAACTATAAATATAAATGTGGTGAATGTACTTACACTTTACCTTTGCTACTGTAGACGAGGGGACAATCTCTTCCCAAAGAATCCTGATAACACAATGCGCTATGATTACACTGATTACAAGGATACCTGGAAGGCTATGGAGAAGCTGGTAGTAAAAGGTCTTGTGAAAGCCATTGGGCTGTCAAACTTCAACAGCCGTCAGATTGATGATATACTAAGTGTGGCTACTGTCAAACCAGCTGTGCTCCAGGTAAGTTAAATAAAGAAGAGGACAAATACCTTTTCTGTTTGTCCATATGTGAAGAATCTTCAAACCAATGCTGTGTGTTTAGCACAAGGTGTTCAGCTTCTTATGTACAGGGAAGAATATAGCCAGCTCTGCAGGACTAGGCACACAGAGCCTATCATTCCAGGAAGATAAGTTTGTTGGGGAGGAGACCTGTGTCCACATTCTGTGGTCATTTATATCTGCTTAGTCAAGCAGGTCTGTGAGAAGAGTTAGTCTTCCCTGTGAGGGACAATTCAGGCTATAAGAAAGAAGCATTGTGAGAGAGTAACTTGAATCACTTCTTATAGAGAGTTTGCTTGCTTGCTGGATGCTGTTTGGTACATAGGGAAAATCCAGCACTCTAAATTCTGGTAATCTGTTCTTCTTCCTGTAATTGCAGCCTACCAGACACTTTTTCGTTCTGGTAGTAAGTTATCCTCATAAGGATACCTTACTTAACTTAAACCTTATCCTTATCAGGTTTTTTAGAATCTGGAATGACCTCCTGTGATGTGTTTGGTTCTGCTGTGCTCTTGACTTCTTTGACTTCCTATTTGTGTAGAGTTTTGTGTTGCTATCTGTTCTCTAGCCACTCATTGTGGGTCATTTTAACAGGTAGAATGCCATCCTTACCTAGCTCAGAATGAGCTGATAGCTCACTGCCAGAAGCGAGGACTGGTTGTCACTGCCTACAGCCCCCTTGGTTCTCCAGATCGCATGTGGAAACACCCAGATGAGCCTGTGCTTTTAGAAGAACCTGGGATCAAAAAGCTGGCAGAAAAGTACAGCAAGTCACCTGCACAGATCATCCTCAGGTACAGGACAACTGTCAGGGTGGTGTTTGGGACCTGACCTTAAATGAAGCAAAACACTCACATTAGAAGGAATCTACCTAAAGTGTGTGTTCTTCTGCATTGGTGGGGAGTTAAAATCACAGGGAGTGCCAAAAGCAAACCCCATTCGGTGCTTGTTTGGCAGAGTTGGTAGAGTTGGCTCTGCCTTAGGGCAGGTGGATGGACTAGATCAGAAGGGTCTGTTCAGGGCCTGGATGCATGCCTGGGACAGTTCACCCATTTCCACTGAAATAGCTGTAGCATAACTGCAGCAGTGAGCCAGGATTGAGGGCCACCTACTGAATGTGCATGTGGCCAGCTGCTAAACCCTTGAGTGCTTGTTGCTGCATTCAGGTAGGCTCTCGGGAAGAGGGGCTAAGGAAGGGACCTTCTTTGCGCAGCAGAACCATTGGATACTGGGAAACAAGATGGTTGAATATCCAGAATGTGATCAGCACCTTGTAAAATATAATTGGGATCTATCCTCACTTTTTGTTTCGTTTGTCTGGCTTTGTATCTATTAATTTCAGAGTCTTGGGCAGCAGCAAGTTACCCTGCCAGCTGAACAAGTTCAAGTGTTTGTGCTTGAGCCACTAGACAAGCACTTGAGGGATCTGGGTTTTCTTCTGGTTCCTTGGTGGTTGTGTTGGAACTTGCATAAAATGCTGAAGTACATTTTTGTGATTGTTTCTTGGTCTTCTATTTAAAGCACCTGAAACCTGGTTGTTTTTTCAAGGCATGAATGTCTTCCCCTTGTTGGTTAATTCAGTGGCTACTGTCTTGCTTGAGCTTACATATACTCATACTCCTAAGGGAATACAGTGCTATGCCAGCCCTCTTCTGGGTATTTTTATTTCCCATAGAAACATAAGTGGCATCTCTGCTGACACAGGTTGTTACTCAACCAAAATAAACATTGTGGGTTTTGGGCTGCACACACAGAAAAGCTCTCTCCTCCCCTTAACAGATGGCAAGTGCAGCGTAAAGTGGTTGCCATTCCCAAGAGCGTCACTCCTGCTCGCATTCAGCAGAATCTCCAGGTAAGTATAAATGAAGGAAAGGAGCTTCAGCAGTGCCCTTTTCATGTGAGTAATATCCTGTCCTACTACATGCAGAGCATCAAGCGAGGCAGTTGGTTTATACTTGTTCATCAATGTACGCATAGAGTTGAAAAGGATGGTAGACTTCTGGAAGACAAACTTGATATGTTTTAAGCAAGTGTGTGAGCATGTGCACATGTACACATGCAGAGTCTTGTTACAAAAGGTAAAGAATGTACTTTGTATAAGTCTGAGTGGAAAATCTTTACTGAAATTTATCTGAGGTACAAGTCTGTTCAACAAGGGAGCCTTCCAATGACATTCAGTGGTTCTTACTGATGAGTAATAGTGGCTCTACCCTGTAAGTGGGGGTTGCTGACTATTTCTGCAGCAAACTGCCATGCTAATGATGCTGAAGAAGTAAGTGTGGTTCACTTCTGCTCTGAAGTAGAGAGAGTTCACTCTAGAAATTGTGTGGAAACTCTGACTTCAGATAACCTTGAGGGAGGTCTCTGAATCACCTCTTGTGATGTTTTCTTCAGCCCTTAGTCGTACAAATTGCCTGGTTACGCACTTGTTAGGAATGGTTTCTATAACTGTTACTCCCATTAAAACAAAGCTTGCTATGTAGTAAGCTGCTAGAAATCTCCAGAAACTCGAGTAAATTCTGCAGTTAACTGAGGTTAAGTGCTGTGTGAGAAGAGAACATTGATTCAATTGGCAGGACTGACTTGAAACAGTCCAACTGCTTTTTATCTTTTTGGAAGAGTGCTATGCAGTATCAGTGTAGGCTTAGAGCTGGCAAGTGTATGAACACCTCAGATTTTAAGCCTCTGTTTGGTATTTGTTATAAAATGAGTTTTAATGGCAACATCATGTTTATGACTGTAAGACAAACTAATTGTAACCTGTGGTATAAAGCCTCTTGCTTTTGTTCTCAGGTGTTCGATTTCAGCCTCACAGAAGAAGAGATGAGCCACATCAGAAGCCTGAATAAAAACTGGCGTTACATTGTGCCAATGATCACGGTAAATTTCTCGTGTTTCTCATAGTTTTCATTATGTGCATTTGGCCACAGCTTGGGGTTTTTGCATATTTCTTTCTTGTACTGTCCCATCAGAACTACTTACTCATAAGGAGTATGCATAAGTATGTTAAGTAGAAGATGTACTTACTTCATCTTCTTAAGGTAGCTAAGATGAAAGAATTTTTCAGAAGCTAGGTACAAAAAAGATAGCTTTTTGAAATCTTTCCTCCTCTATTTTGGCTACTGAAGAAGTTCTCATTACAAACCTGTCCATGGGCCTTTAAGCCAGAGTCCCATCTTACTTCAGTCTCCCCAAACTCTTATTGATATGTCCTTCTCAGGTACAAACAGGCCAAGGTCCGTGGCATTCCTTCAGAAGTAGTCCTTGTTCCATTTGTCCCCATCTACTTTATACCATTAGCCTCTAAGATTGGAGAAGACTGAGGATGCTTTTAGTTCTCCATACCCATCATAGAAGTCATGTGAGGGTAATTTGTCCATTTCCCTCCAGTGGCTGTCCCCCCTTTCAAAATCTGTTTTAATGACCTTCCTCCAATGTAAGGAGCTTGGCTTAGGCTGTTCTGTTTTTCTGTTCACATCCATTAGCTGCAGCATCTTTTAGCCTCAGTAGTTTTACGCTTGACACATGAAATTTTCTACCTCATCTGCTATCAGTTGGCAGTCTGGTTTTAGAGAAACTAAAGCTTTGTATGTGTTAAAGTCCTCTTGGTCTTCCTTTATATTAAGGGAACTAACCTTGTTCCTTTCCTCTCAGTGCAAAAAAAACACCCCAAACCCAAGTCAATGCCATGTTGTCTGCTGTCTCCATAGCATTCCTCATTTCTTACTGTCCTGCTTCTGATTATGCCACAGAAAGCTGTTGCTGTTCCTTTGTGTGTCACTGACCACCAGACTGTGCTATAATGAGTCTGAAGTGATTTATCCCTTCTCTGTCATACAATACACTGCACAGACACAGTAGGTCTCTGCAGTTTTGGAAGCTGTCAAGCATACCCTTGCCTCTGCAAGCAGTTAGTCTACCTGTAGGTTATTATTTGTTAGTCAGTCAGTGGCTGCTGGCTATAGGAATTCTTTGGGGGAAGTTTTTCTCCAGGGTTTTTCATAGAGCATTTTTGAGTACTTGAGCATGTCAGTGACTAATCTGAATTGGAAAAAATAAGTGACTGTGGTGAGTAACGGTCTCATATCAAGGGTAGATACTGGTTACAGCTTTCGCTGTTTGTCATACTGGAGCTTCCAAAAGCTTCAAGGCCATGCTCTTAACTGTATGTTCCTTCAGTATGTGTGCGTAAATATAAACCCCCCCATCCCTGCAACCAAAATTATCTTTGTGTTTATGGATCAAGAGTCTGTACACCAAAGGACAAGCTTAGCTCTGATCTGTGTGACTGCAGTAGTGACAAGCACACCTGCTGCTGACAGGATGTTTCTTTCAACTGCTTTGCTACTCATGCTGCAAACAAAGCTGTTTTGTTAATGAAACTGCAAAATACATTAGGATGTAGCCTCCTTAGATGAGCCTGGGCTAAGTCATGTGCTTTTGTTACCTGGGAGACCTGATCAGATCACAGTGATTCACAAAGGAGAGATGAAATAGAGTTCAAAGTGCTAGCCCGTCCGACTAGAAAAGGGTGAATGATGCAGCTGGGCTTCAAAGATACTGCCGTATTGTCAGATAACAAGATGGGAAGAAACACAATGAGGAGAATTAAAAGGTGACTCTGCAGCTGTAAGATCTCTTTTTGTCTCCTTTTGTCTCCTGCTCATCCCTTCTGGGCTCAAAGAAAAGAATTTTCATCAACTGTGAATTAAAATTCCTGTCTAACCTTTTATTGCCTACCTCCTCTCTGAGTCAGTTTCTGGATTTCAATGTGTGATACAGCAGTGATATCAGAGCTTCTGCCATAACTGACAAGACAGTTTTTCCTTGTTTTGCTTCATTGATACGTAACCACAAGTTCTTATAGTTGTGCCGCTCTTCTCCACATTGTCTTGTCTAAAGCCTAAGAAGAAACTATTACATTGCATGTAGGCAATTCAAGTTGCTTTATACTTTTGACAATTCATTATCTGCGTAGAGGTTGGAAATTACATTGCACTGGCCTGAAATCCCAAACTTCTAGAAACACCTAATGGGGCAAGGAATGTACTTAATTGAAACGTGAATGACTTGCAAGCCAGGAAGAGGAGGAGTGATGGTGTTGTACATATAATGATCTATTTTTGATAGCACCACTGATCTGCCCTGTTTTCACTGCTGATTTTACCCCACTGCCTTCTCTCAAATTCCTGTGCTAGACTGGAATCAGGTACCTGAAACATTTCTTCTGGTAGCTGCTGTCTTGGCATGCTGTGACACTTGTCCATAGTTTTAAAGATTGCCTTCAGCTGACAGCTTCATTTCAGCTTTACATTAATCTGAACATCAGTCAAACCTTAACATCTTAGTTTTCTGCTCTGTAGTGCCCCCAAGTGACTAATTTCACACTTCAGTAGTCGCTGTGACATTCATTATTAGGGATTCCAGTTGGTTTGAAATGCAGGCTTTATACTGAAGGCTACTAGAGGGACTTAATCTAAGTTGTAGCTGAATGCTGCTAGTCTTCCACCCAGGGAGGTGTGTGTGTCTACCAGTGCCGCACCTAAATTTCCCCCGACATTACAGATGAGGAGCAAGGGTTTACCTTTGCTCCTTGGGGAGTGTTGCAATGGACTTGGTGCAAATAAAAATGCATTAAGTCCGGGCATCTGAATGCTCAGGTGTGGGATGTAGGAATTGAGACTTCTGCATGATCACGTCTGCTTTTGGGCCAGCTGGAGCCTCTTGTTTCATTACCTGTGAATGCTGGTTTCAGTATTCCCATTTTAGAGCTGGAGAAGCTGGTCTTCCATGGAAATATTCTTAAGCAAGAAGTGCTATGAGGGAGTTCAGTGACACTGTTAATGCTTCAGTATGCGACCCTGAACAAGTCATTTGAATGCGTTTCATCTTACCCATGTGTAAAACTGGCAGCCCAGCAACTCTATGGTGGAAACATGGGTAAAAAGCTTCAATTCCAATAAGGTGTTTTGAAGTCTGCATGTTACAACATTGACTCAGTAACAGCTACAAGGCAGAAGGCTTTTAACTGTTCTTAATCTAATTCTTCAAGTCTCAGCAGCTTGAAAGTCTTGCTCCAGGCTACAGAAATCTGTCTCCTTTTTTTAATGTATTTTTAAGTTTTCCTTTCACAAAGTGCTGGGAGGACGGAGGAGCAGGGAACCGGCTCTTGTTTGAGCTGGAAAAGACTCCCAGGTGTTTGGATCTTCCTATCCCAGAAACTGAAATCATGCAGACCTTGAAACTGAGAGTAAGAACGAATTTCTGTCCTTCTGACTTGAGTCTGTTTGTTCCACAGGTGGATGGCAAGCTCGTGGCCAGAGATGCTGGACACCCCCATTACCCCTTCAATGACCCTTATTAACTACAAGAAAATAAGGTGTTAAGGAACATGCTCCTCTGCATGTCATACCACAAAATAATTGTTTCCACAAATTGTCAAAATCCTCTGTCCAAATGGAACCTTCCTTCCTGAGTAGGTTTACTTACACTGATTCTCACTGACCTCCTTTCTGGAGATCCTGTAGGTTCCTTGTCAAAGTTTGTGGATTTATTACAATGACCATAAACTTGCTCCTGGAAGCATCAATCGTTTGGGAATTAGATAAAGAGCTGGGGAGTCTAAATCAAGTTCCTAACATACCATTATCAGGCTAGGGCAATACTTTGGAGTTAATCTCTGTGAAATGGTTCTGAAGTCTTTAGTTATTGCCAAAGCAGGGAAACAAAAACCACAACAAGGTGAAGGAATGAAAGCATTTTAAATCTACACAACTGCTTAGCCATCAACTTTGATATCTTTTATCAGTAATTTTTTTACACAGGAAATAAAGTGAAATGTGCTATGGTTGCAGTATGTCAATAACCCATGTACTAAACCCCAAGTAACCAGCCCTGCCCAGTGCTTTTTATCCACTTCGAGTACTTGTGGGACTTGGAATTCTCCCGTTTTTCTTTTTATTGTAATTTGCCTGTAGATTTGTGGAGAATGAATGAGCACCCTGGGGCAGGCCTCTGGAGCAAGCTTCTGTGTTGCTTCTCACACGGATAGTTTTGGCTCTGACAGTAGCTCTGATCATCCTGTCACAAAAGGATCCAGACCGTTTTTGCAAGTCTTGTAGAAGACCAGCCTGCTTTTCCTGTAGTTTCCCAGTGTCTCTTTACTAAAGATGCCCAGTTTGAGTTTGGAAGGTCACAAGATTTTAAGAACAAAGACCTGTCAGGGGGCCCCTTACATTTTAATGTGCCTCTTTCCCTACTTGCCATGTCTCCATGTTACTCCGTGGTGGGAACTGGTTTATGGAGTGCTGATACACTGCTGAGCAGGACTGGAACTCCAGCTCCAACACCAGTTCAGTCTCTTAAGGAATTGTCCAGCCATCGGTACAAAGGGCGTGAGGTGACAGCACCTACCAGTACTCTGAAGGTGATACCTTCTGTGGCCTTAGCAGCGTTAACACTTCGGTTTTCTCTACCTGTAAAATAGGCTTAGTGCTCATTTGCCTTGGTGCAGGCACAGTAGCAAGGCAGTTTCTAAAGGCCTCTCAAATGTAAAGTAATGGCACTCTCTTATCTCTGTTGATGCCAATCAGAGACAGTCATGGACTTCTCCTTTGCTGCTGGATCAAGAAAGCTTAACTGACTGTAAGTGAAATAAAGAGCACTTGGAATTAGAAAGATAATCCTCTGTGTTCAGATAGTTCAACAATCAAAGGAATTAGCTTCTTTTCGTTTTGATATCCTCATTTACAGTAGGCCTATGGTAAACTACATGTTCAACTCAAGTAGAATGCTGCCCCAGGTATTTCCTGCCCTGGGCCTCACAGCGTGCAGCTGAACGGTGACAAACCTGTTTTATCACTCTTTGTAATCCTTATGTAAAAGCCGAAGAGCTCCTGTGTTGGGTGTTTCCTAATTCCGGCTGAATTTACCTCAGTGGAGAAAGCCATTACAGCTCCATTAACATTCTTTACTACCCTGGAACGTTTTTTTCTAAGGGAAATGAAATCCCTGCCGTTTGGGGTTTTATTATTCTAATCAAACGCGGGTGACTTTAACTACAGTTCTTACTGCACATCAGTAGGGAAGCAGTTTTCCTTCGCAGGCGCTGTGGTAGGATGTTAACAGCAGTCATCATGCCAAGGAAAGCGGCTTTTTTTGCATGTATTTCTACTTGCATGTCTTAAATAAATACTGTACTCAGTGTATGACTTCGGGACTGTTTTCCCTCTCTTTCCTGTCAGGGCCCCCATTAACTTTTTCAGTTATTTCCCTTAATGAGAGTAAGTAAGCAGGCAGAGAATTCCTAAGCAAAGCAGTTAAATTCTGCCTATCGAACCCGCAGTTCCCAGCTCTGTTACTCCATGCGCTAACATGGTGCCGTTGGGGCCGCTGAACTTTTATCTTGAAACAGCGCAGGGGGAAATGAGCTTCCAGCTCTCTGCCAATGGCTTTCTTGTCGCTGTGCGAGTTCTCTCGCCGTCTCTGCAGCTGCAGCAGCCATGTCTGCCTTGGCTGGTGGAAAACGCGTGAGCTGAGCCGGAGCATGGGCTGAGGTTACCCCAGGGCAGGGGCGCTACTGCTGCCCCAACCGCGAAGTGGAGCATTGCGAGCCCTTGCCAGCGCTGGATATGCCCCACGGCAGGGAGCGCCTGTCCGCTGCCCCGGCCAGGTCAAGGCGTGCGGGCCCGCCGGAGGGGTGGGCGGAGGAAACCTACGCTCCGTGACCGCGAACAGCGTCGGGGATCTCCTTGACCCGCGCTGAGGTGCGGACTCGGCCCCGCCTCTGGGGCAGGGCCCTTCTACCCGCCACACGTCCACCTTCACCCGGGGCGGGAGCGGCGCAGCGAGGCCCCGGCCCTCCCACCGCCGGGGGGACCGCCCAGCTACGGCTTGGGGAGGCCGCGGCAGAGTCAGGGAGAGCCCGGAGGCCTGACGGGCGCACTACACTTCCCAGCATGCCGCGCGGCAGGGGCTTGCCGGCTGAACGCCATTTCCCCGCCTTACCCAGCACTACACTTCCCAGCGTGCCGCGCGGCCCCTCTCTGTTCCCTGCACCTCGGGACTACACTGCCCAGCAGGCCCCGCGCGGCTGCGCTCCCTTGTGTCCCGCAGAGTGCGGTCGCGCGGCATGCCGGGAGTCGTAGTCCCCCCGCGGAGTGCGCGCGCCGCGAGGCGGGCCGGGGCGTGTCCTCGGGGGTATATAGGAGGCCGGAGGGGAAGGGGTCTGCACTCCGCCGCCGCCGCCCCTGTTCACAGCAGCTTCTATGCAATCGCCGGCTGTCGCCTCTCCCGCCTGCGTCGAGCCTGCGCCGGCCTCCACGACGAGGTAGGGCCGCGCGGGCTGCCCCGCTCTCCGTGTGTGCGTGTCGGGAGGGGTTGTAGAGGGGGAGCGCTTTAGCGCCGTGGGGTGACCGGTTGGGGGGGCGGCCGGCAGGATTTCCTCTGGCGGGTGGGGGAGAAAAGGGCTGGAGGCCGAGAGGTCTCTCTCGGTCGCCTGCCGCCCCCTTTCCGTCGTACCCCGCATACCCTCGCGGGCGGTGGTACGTGCCGTCCCGCTCCCCCAGAGCCAGCTGGGCCCGCTGGGCTCGCGCGGAGCCACCACGTGACTCCTGCTCGGTTGCTGCCATCTTTGTTGGGGGCAGCCGACGCTGCGGGTCCTGCCCGTGGGGCGGGCTTGAGGAGGGGGGGGGCTGGGTGTGAGGATGGGAGGGGTGGGCCCGCGACGTCACGTGACGCTGCGCCGGCAGCCTGTCAGGAGCCACCGTCGCGGTTTGGCGCCAATGGCAGTGGGCGGGGCTGGCGGAAGGCGGGAAAGGCGCCCATTGTCTGCGAGGGGCGGGGGGGGGCTGTGGCCCTGCCTGCCTCGCTCGGCCTTTGTTCCGCCCGGGAGCTCCGCAGCCCCTGCCCCGGGTCCCCCCTGTGCCTGTCAGCTGGCCCGCGGTGGGACGGGCCCCTTGGGCCCGGGTCTGGGTCTCCTGGTAGGAAACGCGGGACGAAACTCCCCCGGTGTGCGTGTGGGGGTAGGGCTGAGCCGCTGCGAGCTGGGGATTGGTGGCTGCACGGTGCTGGGGACGAGCGGTGCCAAGTTTACACAGCGGATCAGCTGGCAGGGCTTGGTCTGATATATCCTGGGCGTGAAAGCATCTGCTTCCTTAATAGTGCTTCATGGAAACGGGAAGCAAAACAGAAACTAGAGGTTTCTCCAAAACATAGCTTAGGAACGTGCTCCGGTTGGCTGAGCACCTGAAAGGCCCTTCCTGGCCCTGCTTCTGCACCTCCCATCGTGAAATGGGTGGCCCGGTATAAACACTTACACGATATTTTGCTTGCAGGATGGAAGAGGAATTGGCAGCTCCTTCCACATCCACAGACAAGACAGACAGGTGAGATGGGACTCAGGTTTGTCAATTACTAAAGAATGACAGTGGTTTGGGTTGGAAGGGGACCTTAAAGATCATCTAGTTCCAACCCCCTGCCATGGGTACCTTCCACTAGGCCGGGTTACTGAGTGAAACGAAGAAGTCACCCTTCAAACTGGTTGTTAGGCTTGAAGTTTAACTGGTGGGGATGCTGTAGATGCTCATAACTTGTGCTCACCTGTAGTCTGCATGAATATAGTCCAATAAAACGCCTTCAGGGAGTAATAAACACACAGATACCAGCTGTTGTTTGGGAAGTTCTTGATCTTTGAGTTAGTGCTGGGGAAGCATTGGGCAGATGTCAGTATGCAATTAGTGTGTAGTAGTTCAGTGTGTGTGCAGCTCCTCTTGTCCCAGTCCAAGGTTCTGGGCTGGGCTGGACCTTTTGGAAATGAAACTGTGACGTGTGCTGAACTGAAAGAGAACTTGCATCTGCCATTCCTCAAATGCTTCATGCTGCGCTATGAGAAGTCAGAACTTGCATTTAGTCTTTTTTCTTGGCTTAGTTAGCATTGGAGTCTGCTCAAACACTGCACAGTACTCAGTGTGTGACTCTTAAAGTATGTTTTTTAGCATCTGTTGTCATACCAGATTCTGATACCTGCTTCTTGCAGTGTTTGGTTAAAATAATCCTATCTGCCCTCGATCATAACAAGTAGAAGTTGGTCCAGATCTAAACAAAACATAGTACCCCCCCCCCCACCATGGTACTTCCAAGCAATGTAACATCTGCAACTTGCTCTTCTGTAAAGCTGACTCAGGTTTGAAAGCTGGATATGAAATTACTGTGGAAACTAACAGAATACTGTTTTGTTTTATTCCCCCCTCCAGTATGGATGTGGATGGAGAATCAAAGAAACTGTTGGGTTTAGGACAGAAACACTTGGTAATGGGAAATATTCCGGCTGCTGTTAATGCATTCCAGGAAGCTGCGAGCTTACTGTGAGTAGTAGAATGTTCTGTGGGGTTTGTTTGTCTGTGCTGTTGTGTCTTATACAAGGAAGACATAAATTGTTACCTTACACATGCTGCTGTGTTTGTAATGCAACTGAGGAGAGGATAAACTGCTTGATTTAACTCAAACATTGGACAGTGCTGTAGTTGGTGTGCAATTCAGACAGCTTTTGTGATAGTAATTGCCAGGGCAGCTCCCAAAGGAGGAAAAGGGATTTGGTATTTGATTTTTGCCATGTATGGTTCTGATGGCTGTTAATAGGACAATAAGGAGGTAGTGTTACTTGCTAGTCACTTGTTTATGTGTCTTAATCAGTCTCTGAGGGTGATCCCTCTGGGTTTTAGATTAATCTGCTCTGCTGGATGTTTGAGAGCCGTGTCTTGCTAAGTCAGAGCGGCATTCGTTATCTCTTCGAAACGGAGATGAGCTAACAAACTGATTCCTCCTGTCCAGGTGTCTTTAGCTTATAGGTAGAGTAGGCACAGGTAAATAACCCTTTGTTAACTTTTGTAGGGGTAAGAAATATGGTGAGACAGCGGATGAGTGTGCGGAAGCTTTTTTTTACTATGGGAAATCTCTTCTGGAGTTGGCAAGGTATGCTGACAGTTTCTTGTTTAAGTCTGGTTGGTGTTACAGGATT